GTTTTGCTCTGTATGTATATATATATATATATATATATATATATATATATATATATATATATATATATATATATATACTTATTTACACACACACGTCGATAAATACAGACATAACAGAATGGGCCACTCGCTCAAACAAGCATAAACATTCACATCAACTTATTCATGCAAATGTACACAAAGGACAGTAACAGTCAGACATGCAGTATCACTTTAGGAACTCATACAAATATTGCTTGATCGCAGCTTTCTTTTGCATAATAATATCCATGTCAAGAGCATTTTGGGCCTCACAAAAACCAAAAGTAGGGTGTTAATCTACTGCCAGCTGCACCACCGGAAAATAGTGAGGATTTCATGGCTGACTCATTAGATATTAACTTTGTAAATTTTAGTCTTCTAATTTGGCAGAAGGGAGCTTGTGGCCAGAGATCATCACTTTTATCAAAACCAGGAAATGGCTCAAATTCAATCCAATGTCATTTTAGTATTATTTACAGTGGGTACGGAAAGTATTCAGACCCCCTTAAATTTTTCACTCTTTGTTATATTGCAGCCATTTGCTAAAATCATTTAAGTTAATTTTTTTTCCTCATTAATGTACACACAGCACCCCATATTGACAGAAAAACACAGAATTGTTGACATTTATGCAGATTTATTAAAAAAGAAAATCTGAAATATCACATGGTCCTAAGTATTCAGACCCTTTGCGATGCGTACAGCGCGTGTCCGAAACGAAACGTCCATTACCATGACAGAATGACAGCCCTGGAGACTTGTACCTTACCAATTCGAGCCGAAGTCTGATGATGAAACGGTTGAACTGGCTGATCGACAAGAGACTGAGTCGCAAGCACGACTGGAGCAGGATGTTTTTCAGTGGTAAGTGTCAAGTGTTAACAAGTTTGTGGTAATTATAAGATGTGATAAAACAAATTTACTCTCACAGTTGGTCCAGAGCCTTAGAGAGATTGGCTCTGGATTGGTCTGATGCGTACAGCGCGTGTCCGAAACGAAACGCCCATTACCATGACAGAATGACAGCCCTGGAGACTTGTACCTTACCAATTCGAGCCGAAGTCTGATGATGAAACGGTTGAACTGGCTGATCGACAAGAGACTGAGTCGCAAGCACGACTGGAGCAGGATGTTTTTCAGTGGTAAGTGTCAAGTGTTAACAAGTTTGTGGTAATTATAAGATGTGATAAAACAAATTTACTCTCACAGCGTAGGATACAGCATCTTCTCGACGAGGAAATTTTACTGTTTGTGGGCGGGCAAGTTGGCGACGTAGGACGTGGGCAGACATTATGCAAATGTGTTACTTCGTGACATAGAGCCGTAACAGAATAAGATTCGAATTCCTGACGACTCGTTTAGGCGATTGCAAGCCGACTCTTTTATTTGATAGACAATAACTTTATTTATCATGCACTGTTGGCTTCACAACTTTGCAGATAGTTTATGTTCACATACAGCTACATGACACACAGCATGAAAGGTAATATTAGAAAAGGCATAAGTAAAAGGCACATTTTGAATTAGCTTTAATTTTTATATTGTCAGTTTTCATTTTAATTTTAGTTTAAGTTTTAGTCATTTTGTTATGTGCTTGTTATTTTTATTAGTTTTTGTTTTCTTTAAATATTTCTAAATAGCTTTAATTTATTTCTATTTCGGTTTTAGTAACTGTAATATTTAAACTTAAGTTGGTTGTCAAATCAACATTCTGAATTTTCATTTTTTAAACTTAAGTTTTTAATCTAATACTTTTAATTTTACTTTATCTTTATTTCAATTACCAAAAATTATTTTTAACAGTTTTAGTGTAAGTTGTCAATAACAACACTGACGCATATTCAAATGAAGCCCTTAAAATTGATCTGAGATCAGCATCAGTGTTGTAGGGACTAGGTTTTTAATCACTGGTCCAGAATCAGGGAAATAAAAGGTGTTCAAACACCTCAAGGGGATGAGGATGTGCATGGGGGGACGGAGCAAATCAGGGGCGGGGTTCTATCGGGGCAGGGAAGAGCAACAATAGCCTCACCCCCTGTCCTCTGCTGACCTGGTCACTACTGCTAGAGGAAGAGATGGCAGAAAAGGTGGAGGAAGAAGTCGAGGTAGAGGAGGAGGAAGAGGATGGCCTGTAGATAGATAACTCGCTGTCAGAGTGCGCGTCCGGCCCTTCTGTGGGAGTTGGGGAAGGTGGTGAATAGTTCCGATAGCGTCTGCTGGTGCTGGTGACACTTACGAGCTCGGCGCAGTCTGAAGGCGTCACGGCGGAGTCCGGCCCCTCCGTAGTCGTCTGGGAACTATCACTAGGGGGTGATGACACTGCTCCCGTCGACATCTGGTTCCCATCGGTTAATAAGTCACCAGACGTGCTGACGACCCCAGCGCCCCCGCTTGAGCTGCGACTTAGCATGTCCTCCTCGTCTTCCTCATCTGGAGTATCAGGCCCTCCACCCTGCTCTGATGCACTCAGGTCCACTGAGTCTCCCGGCTGCAAAGCATGCTGGGAGGAGCGTGGCTGCTCTGTGATGATGTCAGATGTGCCAAGAGACGAAACACCTGATGAGGAGGGAGCTTCACTGGAGCTGTCGCCACCAACCGAGGCTTGAAGAAATGTGAGAGAAACAAAGCATTAATCCTTCCATACATTTCATGCAATGCATTTGTTTGAACTCAAGGAGTGTGTACAAATTAAAATGAATTTGTTTGTTTTATGAAGAAAGTACAATTCATGGCCATGATGGTGGCAGCCGTGTGGTTTCTTTGTGGTTACTAAGGTGTTTTGTGTAAGTGCCAGCATGTTGCTATGTGGTTGCCAGGGTGCTCAGGCAAAACAACAAATCCTCAAATCTACTCTAGCGTCCAATTTTGCAGTCGGAAAGACTTTTTTATTGTTTTTGAAAGTAGTCTCTTATGCTTACCAAGTCTGTATTTATTTTGCAGATTAGTTTATGAGATTGTAAGGCTGATTTTTTTCATCCATCAGGAGAAAATTGCAAGTCTTAAACGTGACAGTACTCCCCTCCTCAACTTACCAGAGAATGATCCTGTGGTGACCTCTGCCCTCTCAGGGTCATCTTCCAAACCCTCCTCTTCACCTGACAACAGCTTACCTAAAACAAGCACAACATACAAGGCATATCATTACAATGCAACAAACATGTTTCTATTCCAAACACCATTCTAACTTTCTTTGACAGTCTAAAATTCCAACCGCACATTCAATAACAAAACTGTTCTACTGACGTGCCACAGACAGCCCTCGAAGCACACACAGAAACATGTCAGTAGGTTAGATGCAAAAGAAGGGCAGACAAGTCACCTTTCTGCTTCCTGAGGAGGAGAGGACTGCATGTTGACCCACCAGCTGTATGCGGGAAACAGGAAGTGAAGAGAGCAGAAAAGCCCAAAAATTCATTGTGAGGGTTAGAGGAAGGAAGAAGCAGAGGATGAAGATCTCACGCATGGTGAAATTGTTTGCAGTGTTGCAGTGAACTTACAGATCAATGATTTGTTATTAAACAGAATAGACAATATAAAGAAGCGGTGTGGGAAATATTAAGAGCTGAATTTGAAGAGAGTATGTTATTAATGAGTAACAAAGATTTGAATTAAACTGAAAAAATTTCAGATTTCAACTTCACATAAAAAAATCCAAAAACGAGATTACTTCTATGAATAGAGGTCAACAGATATAGTTTTGCCAAATAAAGTGGTAATCAGTGAAAATCAATGCCGATACTTTAATTTCTCCATGTTCCTCTGTGCTCATCTTGCTAAATAAACTTTATGAAGTAGTTAAACATACGAGCAAAGTACAATATATACATCTAAAACGTATGCGCAGCATATGGTTCATGTTTTCTGCACCTTTTTTCTCTCACCCCTTCTTGTACATTATTTATATATTTCATATAACAACAAAATTAAAATAATAAATTTGTCAGTAGTGATTTAACATATGTATATACATTTATTTGAATTTCAAAATATTGTCATGATTATGTCATTATTGTTTATTTTTAATAAAATCCAACCATTTTAATTGAAAGGTTTTCATTCGTATTACTGGTTTTAAAAACAATCTGCAAATGACTTGGTTATTGTTCAGCCACATTTACCTAATTTAGTTACTATCGGTAAAATCCACTATCAGTCGATCTCTACTTATATACACAACACAAACCTTATTTTTCCTCACAAGGTGTTTCTCCACTGACAGTGTAGCAGAGATAACCAAACTATTATGGCACTGACTATATGCAACAGACTGTATAATAACAATATTTACCAATAAGCTCGAGGATGCTGCCACTTCGTGCACGGAACTCTGTCTCTTCTCTAAAGACACTGGTGTGTGATATTTTGCCACGTGTGATGAGTGCGTTCAAGAGCTCAGGGGGAGGAGTGCGAAACACCTGCTGCAGAAGCTCCAAAGATGCTGTCACCACATTATGATCCCAGTGCTGCGTGTAGTGCAGGGTCAGTTCATAGACCTGAGAACCAAAGATTAGAGTTTACATGTCCACAAATACAGTACAGTACACATAGATCAACATAACACAAATCACAAGGATACAATGAACTTTATCAGCTCTTGTACCTGAATGAGCTGCTCCGGTGTAGGGGTGATGTCTGCCTCTTTACGAACAAGACCAAAGCTGCCCTTCAGGCTGGTGTTAGGAGCCTGCTGCTGAAGAAGAGGCATCAGGTAGCGCAACGTCAGTAATACACCCAGAATCAGGTGACTGGAATGTTCCTCATCCACTGGCACTACCAAACCTGAGAGAGAGAAAACAGGAAGATGAATTAACACATCTGAAACATAGCATTTTGACAGAATCAGTTTTTTCCCACATGTGCGTTTTAGAGTGTAAGCGTCCTACTGAGCAGCACGTTGAGGAGCCAGGTGTAGAAGTAGTGTGTTCTGCGTGAGTGCTGACACACGCTGACAGCCGAGCTGGCCGCTGTTCGGCGAATAGTAGGAGAACTGGACTTCAGATTGGCAACAAAGGCCCTCAACAGCATCTAAATACACATTCACAAAGTGAAATCAGAAGTGCCACATTCAAAGTGAATATGATAAGAATAACTGATAGAATATGAAGAAGAGTAATTTAAACAGTAGGGTTGTGACGGTGAGGAAATTTTCCCACCGGCGTGCACATTTTACTTTCACTTTCAAATAGCGGCAATTTAGCGTAAAGCAATTGTTCGTTTTTAGTTCGTTTCCCTCTTTTCCTCGCTTTCCTTTGCTTTTAAATAGCTTAAAAGCACCATGCGCATTTTACTTTCACTTTCGAATTAGCGGCAATTCAGCGTAAATTGCTTGAATGCAACAAGAAAATACAACGTCAAACTCACTTGAGCCTATATATAAAACATAGAACTTTTATTAACAAAGCGAATAAAAATACACCATGCTATAGGGCAGGCTATGCCTAATATAAAATAACAAATAGCTTACATAAAGTTTAAATAAGTAACAAAACAGGAAATAAGTAAACATATATGTATAATATATAACCAAATAAATAAGAAACATATAAAGTTTATTAGCAAAACGTGCAAAAGCGGCGTGCACATTTTACTTTCACTTTCAAATAGCGGCAATTTAGCGTAAAGCTATTGTTCGTTTTTAGTTCGTTTCCCTCTTTTCCTCGCTTTCCTTTGCTTTTAAATAGCTTAAAAGCACCATGCGCATTTTACTTTCACTTTCGAATTAGCGGCAATTCAGCATAAATTGCTTGACTGCAACAACAAAATACAACGTCAAACTCACTTGAGCCTATATATAAAACATAGAACTTTTATTAACAAAACGAATAAAAATACACCATGCTATAGGGCAGGCTATGCCTAATATAAAATAACAAGTAACTTACATAAAGTCGTGAGTGCTGACACACGCTGACAGCCGAGCTGGCCGCTGTTCGGCGAATAGTAGGAGAACTGGACTTCAGATTGGCAACAAAGGCCCTCAACAGCATCTAAATACACATTCACAAAGTGAAATCAGAAGTGCCACATTCAAAGTGAATATGATAAGAATAACTGATAGAATATGAAGAAGAGTAATTTAAACAGTAGGGTTGTGACGGTGAGGAAATTTTCCCACCGGCGTGCACATTTTACTTTCACTTTCAAATAGCGGCAATTTAGCGTAAAGCAATTGTTCGTTTTTAGTTCGTTTCCCTCTTTTCCTCGCTTTCCTTTGCTTTTAAATAGCTTAAAAGCACCATGCGCATTTTACTTTCACTTTCGAATTAGCGGCAATTCAGCGTAAATTGCTTGAATGCAACAAGAAAATACAACGTCAAACTCACTTGAGCCTATATATAAAACATAGAACTTTTATTAACAAAGCGAATAAAAATACACCATGCTATAGGGCAGGCTATGCCTAACATAAATAACAAATAGCTTACATAAAGTTTAAATAAGTAACAAAACAGGAAATAAGTAAACATATATGTATAATATATAACCAAATAAATAAGAAACATATAAAGTTTATTAGCAAAACGAATAAGAAAGCTTGGAGGCAAGGCATACACCTTGATGTCAAATAAAATAAATAAATTACACAAAGTTTAAATAAAGTAAAAATCAGCAAACACTGTGGAACCAATTAAATAAGAAACGAAAGTTTCAAAAAAACTTCCAAAATCACCTTAGATAAACGGCAAACGTCAACAGGCTTTTCAAAATCCAAAATACTGCCAAACAGGCGCTTTTGCAAATCGTTTCGAAACTAAATCATCCGCGATCGTCTTGTCTGTCTCACCTCACTCTTCTTGTCAGTCAGCTCGACTCACTCTCCTCACTGGGGAAATTAAATCTGCTCTGTGATGCGACTGTCGTTCGGCACGCTGCATTGAGCA